ACCTCCGCTGACCTCCACGCCCCCTCCCCCTCCCCCCGGGGGTCTCACAGGCCACCCGTAGCTCCATGCTGCGGTTGTGCCTCCCATGCCGGTTCTCAGCCACGCAGCTGAAGGTCCCTCCGTCCTCGGGGCCGACGTGGGGCAGCAGCAGCCGCAGGGCTCCGGCCGGCTCCTCCCTCAGAACCTCGGACCCACGGAACCACGACAGCAGCGGCGTGGGGCGGCCTTCGGCCTCGCAGCCCAGCTCCACCCGGGAGCCCTCGACCACCTCCGTGGGGCCCCACAGCCCCACGACCTGCGGCTCGTCTGTGGGGCGCAGGGGGGTGGCGGTGGGGCATCACGGCGGGGCGGGACCCCGTCGGCCCCATAGGGATGCGGGGGCCACCCCACAGATGTGGGTTCTGGGGCCGCGCGACGCCCCTGCGGGGAACGGGACCCAAACTTTGGGGTCCCACCCCCATCCCGGGGACACAAAGGACCGAAGCGCCGCCCCACGGCCGCCGCCGCTGGGAACCCCCAGGACCCCGCACTTCGCCCCCCACCCCAGCACCCCCCCTTTCCCCCCCAGCCCCACATCTCACACTGCACGTCGAGCCCCACGTCGGCCTGGAAGCTGAGGCTGCTGTTGCTGAAGCTGACGGCGCAGCCCACGCGCCGCCCCAGATCCTCCCTGCGGGGCCGGAAGCGCAGCAGGGCCAGGACGGCCCGCGACCCCAAAGTCTCCTCGCGCCGCTCGCGCCCCACGGCCCCCCACAGCTCCTCCGTCCCCGTCCAGCTGAGGAGGGGCCGCAGGGGGGGGCAGTTATCGGGGACCCGGCACAGCAGCTCCACCTCCGACCCCGCCACCACCTCCGGGGGCACCTCCAGCTGTGGGGCGTCTGTGGGGAGAAAGGGGGCGGCTGGGGGGCGCGGGGAGACCCATAGACCCATAGGGACCTCAAATGGGTGGTGGTGGGGGGGTCTGCAGGGCGTGGGGACATCCATAGGGCCATCAGGAGGAGGGAGGGGGGCGTCTATGGGGTGTGGGACCCACGGGGTGGGGACACCCAAAGGGACCCGGGGATGGGGACATCTATGGGGTGCGGGGACCCCCGATAGGGACCCCAAAAGGGTCGGGGGGGGTCTGCAGGGTGTCCATAGGGCCATCAGGAGAAGGGATGGGGGCATCTATGGGGTGGGAACGCCCGTAGGGACCCGGGGATGGGGACATCTGTGGGGCACGGGAACCCATAGGATGGGGACATCCATAGGGCCATCAGGAGAAGGGATGGGGACAGCTATGGCGTGTGGGACCCACGGGGTGGGGACACCCACAGGGACCCAGAGATGGGGACATCTATGGGG